TTCCTCATTTCTGGAGTGATTATCGCAACCACCTGAAACATAAGAATAAGGACTTGACTCTACAAGAGCTGATCAGTCACGCACGCACGGAGGAAACCAACAAGCTAAAGGATAAGCTCTCTTCCCAATCCCTAAATTCAGTTAAAACTAATTTAGTTGAATCTTCTAGTGCTTCCAAAGACAGGTTCAAAAGCAATGGGAAGCAATTTGCAAGGGATAGAGCTCAGAATAACAAAGGTCTCCAACCCAAAAATACTGGTGGAAGAATCGAGAAATCGAAACTGGTATGCTATGTTTGCAGAAAACCCGGGCACAAATCCTACCAATGCACCTAGAGGAAAGATAGGAAATATCAAAGAACTGCTCCACAAGCCAACCTTGCAGAGATGGACGATATCACTGCCGCTGTGGTTGTGGAAGCAAATCTAGTGGAAAACAAATCCGACTGGATTCTTGATACACGAGCGTCCAGACATTTCTGCTCAAATCGTGACCTCTTCCATGACTTTCAGGACTACGCTGACAGCGAATGTGTTTTTATGGGGAACTCGTCCACAGTTGTAGTACTTGGGAAAGGGAAAGTTCTCTTGAAACTCACATCTGGCAAAACTTTATCATTAAGTAATGTGTTGTATGTTCCTTCCCTACATAGGAATCTGGTGTCAGGAGGTCTGTTGAATTGAGCCGGACTTAAGATTGTATTTGAGGCCGACAAGATTATCATCACAAAAAATAGTGACTTTGTTGGTAAGGGCTATCTTGCAAATGATTTGTTTGTTCTCAACACTACTTCTTCAAATGAAATTAATTATAGTTCTGCTTACATCGTTGAGTCTCTTGATGTGTGGCATGGTAGATTAAGGCATGTGAATATTGAATCGATTAAAAGGCTTAGAACTTTAAATTTAATTAGTACTTCTAATTTGCCTGAAACTGCAAAGTGTCCTATCTGTGTAGAAGCAAAGTTTGCTAAAAACCCTTTTAAACCTGTCACTGCAAGGTGTACCGAACTCCTAGAATTAATTCATTCTGATTTATCTGATTTAAAAAATACAACTAGTAGAGGTGGAAAAAATTACTATAGTTATTTTGTTGATAATTTTTCTAGATATACAAAAATATATCTCCTAAAATCTAAAAAGGAAGCTAGTAGTATGTTTTTAAAATTCAAAGCTGAGGTAGAAAACCAACTAAACAGAAAGATAAAAAGGATAAGATCAGATAGAGGTGGTCAATATATAGTGATAATTCGCTTAGAGTTTTTTGTGAATCAAGTGGGATTATACATGAATTTACTGCTCCATATTCACCTCAACAAAATGGAATAGCGGAACTTTAAAAGAGCTGATAAATGCTATGCTATTAAGTTCTGGTCTATCTGATGATATGTGGGGGGAAGCTGCATTTTCTTCCTGTTTTATTCTTAACAGGGTCCTTCACAAAAAGCTGGATAAGACACCATACGAGCTCTAGAAGGGGTATTCGCCAAACCTGAGCTACTTCAAGGTGTGGGAGTGCTTGGCAAAGGTGGCATATCAATCATTCAGAAAACCAACAGTTAGATCTAAAACTTTTGATTGTGTTTTCATTGGTTATGCTCAAAATAGTTTTGCATATAGGTTCATGGGCTTGAATGATAAATCAATATGTGAATATAGAGATGCAGTTTTTTTTTTTTTGAAAATATCTTCCCTATGATTAGAACTGATGGTGACTCTAGTGGTATTTCAAAAACTGCATGCATGTCTTTGCCCTCCACTTCTGTTGATATGATAGATCTTGAACCTAAATCCAATAATGTAACAGATTCTGAACCTAGGAGAAGTAAAAGGCAAAAAGTTAGTAAAAGTTTCAGACCTGACTTCCTAACTTCCTATCTAGTAGAAAACTTTGACAAGATAGACGATCAATTCGCTTGCATGTATTTAATACACGATGATCCTAAAACCTACCAAGAAGCTATAAATGTCTTAGATTCTAGTCTATGGAAAGTAGCTATTAAAAGTGAACTAGACTTCATAGTTATGAATCAAACGTGGGAATTGGTAGAATTACCTTCAGGAAATAAACCTATTAGGTGTAAATGGATCTTTAAAAGAAAAATGAGACCAGATGGCATGATAGAAAAATATAAAGCTAGACTAGTGGTTGTAAGTTACACACAAAAGTATGACATTGATTACTTCGATACGTACTCTCCTGTAACCAAGATTGTTACAATTAGATCTTTGATAGCATTGACTGCTATTCGAGGGTTAGTAATACATCAGATGGATGTAAAAACAGCTTTCCTTAATGGTGACTTAGAAGAGGAGATCTACATGACACAACATGAAGTTTTTCTAGCTACTGGTCAAGAAAATAAAGTATGCAAGTTTAAAAAATGTCTCTATGGCCTAAAACAAGCTCCTAAACAATTGTATGAAAAGTTTAATGACATTTTGGTAAACAATGGTTATAAAGTAAATTGCTCTTATACATGTGTTTACTCAAAATTGTCTGGAGTTGATTGTGTGATAATATGCTTGTATGTTGATGATATGCTCATCTTTTGTTCAAACTTAGATATTATTAATGAGACCAAGTTGCTCATTTCTTCACATTTTGTAATGAAAGATTTAGAAGAAGCTGATGTAATACTTGAGGTAAAAATAAGGAAAAATGATAATGGATATTCCTTATGTCAATCACACTACATTGAGAGAATGCTTTAGAAATTTGATCACTTGGATAAATTACCTGTAAGAACACCTTATGATGCTAGCATGGATCGTAAAAGAAATCGGCGTGATAGTGTATCTCAATCCGAATATGCAAAGATTATAGCTAGTGTCATATTTTTAATGAATTACACTAGACCTGATATTGCATATGCAGTAAGCAAACTAAGTAGATACACTCATAACCCTGGTAAAGATCACCGGACTGCTCTACGTCGGTTGTTAAGGTATCTTCAATGAACTATTGTTCCATTTTAACAAATTTCCTACTATGCTAGAAGGATATTGTGATGCAAACTGGGTTACAGATAATGATGAAGTGAGCTCCACTAGCGGGTATGTATTTACTTTTGGCGGTGGAGCTATCTCATGAAAATCGGCAAAACAAACCTACATTGCTCGATCTACCATGAAATCCGAGTTTATAGCACTTGAACTAGCAGGTCAAGAGGCTGAATGGCTGAGAAGCCTTCTTGGAGATGTGCCACTGTGGGGGAAATATGTACCTGTATCCATACACTGTGACTCACAAGCTACCATAGGAATTGCAAAAAATAATGTGTACAATGGTAAGAGACGCCACATACGTCTAAGACATGGAGTTGTGAAGCAGTTACTGAAAGATGGAATTGTATCCTTGGAGTATGTGAGGTCCGAGAGGAACCTGGCGGATCTTCTCACCAAAGGCCAAACAAGAAGAGTAATTCTGGACTCCTCAGGATGTATGGGACTCGAGCCATTATGCTGAATCCATAGTCCTTCTTTTGGGTGATCCATGTATGGACTTGATAGATGTAGTGGAACATATGTAAATTCATAGCCCTTCTTTTGGTGGTCCATGAATGGACTCGATGGATATGGTGAAACATGTGAATCCATATTCTTTTTGGGTGGTCCATGCATGGACCTGATAGATAATGCTCAAAGTTTTCATAGCTCAGGTTTTTGAGTGGTTTATCTATGATAGACTTGATGAAGCGACAACGTGACTGTGAAGGTGAGGCCACCTTCTATGAAAGAGTTGTGAAGCCTCCTTCTAGAGCTTTCACGATAACCTAAGATGTATGTGCATAGCCACTAAAAACACTTGACAACTATCGCTGAATCAAAATCGAGGATTCAAATGTGTTGTGGAGGTCTCAACTATAATTACTGAAAGTTCAAGAGGTAACTCACTTTCATTACTTAGGTTGTTGTCTCACTTCACTAGGCATTAATTCAAATCGAGAGATATTAATATTTAAATTTATTTTTCTTTTTGCTCAGAAAACCTTTTTTTCTTTCTTTCTCTCTCTATTATTTAATTTTACTATTTGACATTCGTGGGGGATTGTTGGGATTGACATGTAAAACAAACTAGCTTCAAAATTGGAGTCAAAGGACAAGTGACAAGGTTGGAGGGAGTTTGGCATTCAACGGGACACCTGTATAGGTTTTTTTTGGAGGTTTTTAATTCTTGGAAAATGAAAAACTATTTTGGGCCTTACAACCACTATAAATTGGCAGTCTCCCACCACTCTTCAATCACTCATTCTCTTCTCTCATTCTTTACTCAATTTGTGTTTCCTAAAGATTTTCTGAGCTAGTTTTGATTCTACTCCATTCCGACGAGTGCACGTCTGAGTCGGAGGTTGTGTTAACCTTGGGCAGTATACTGGTAGTAAAATGATTTAGCACCAAGGTCGTGTCGATTTTGCTTTCAGGACAGTGGTTCCGCCCACGGCACAACATTTTTAGCTCTCGGTTCAATTTTGGCCTTTATTTCGCAACATTCGACGCCTTCAATGCTAAGTTACATGCCGCCTGTGAGATCCACCGACTTACCAAACCATCTCAACGCAGCCGTGGATCACATCTCCTAAATAAGCTTCAGGTTCCTTATCATCCATATGAAAGATATGCACTGTCGGATAAGCGAATTGGTCGATATTGCCGCAGAGCTAAGTAGCAAGTTCATAGAAATTGAGAACAACAAAACAAGATATAGGGGAAATGAGGAGAAGTTTGTCTTCGCCGTTAGAAGTTAAATATAATAATAAGAACATATATTGGACCTAAAATCGAAGAAGATGAATTAACGCGAAGCTTCCTCTTCTTGTCAATGGCTTCTTACGATCCTCTGATACAACAGTTGTATTTTTTAGAATTTTTATATATATATCAGTGGTATACCAACAAATAAATATTATAGTTATATCAATATAGTAGATCAACTGTAAATCAATAAAGTAAATAAACACACATATATATAGCATGTATATTCAAAGTATATCATAGGTATATCAGAATCAGAGAATTATATCATAAATATAGAACAGTAACATGTCGAGCATGGGGACAAAATTCCAAATTCGAAAATTACCGAATCACTCGTCCTAATAAATAAGGGGGAAACACATGATATTATCGACAAATTGGCAAGCATAAGATTACAAAGTGATTTATATATAAATAAGCTCTTTTTGGACGTGCATGGTCTGGATCAACCTTGTCAACCTGAAAAAAAAAAAGTGAATATATTAGTAAATCAATAGTATATCAGCTATAAATCAATTATAATATTACATAACGTAAATCAATAGTAAACTAATGATAAGATATATTAGATAATCAGAATCAGATAATCATATCATACTTTGTTTTGAGCTTTGGGATATATTCGATACTTTATTATTTAGGTATTCGTTAAATTTTTTTTTGTTGTATTTATAGAACTTAAATGTTGATGCTAAATGTGCAATTTTATTTTTTTTTTTTTGTTTTACCATAATTGCAAGTGTCCCTTTAATAAATGTACAAAATCAACTATTTAATAACTCTTGCTAATTTCTAACTCGTTAAGGCACTTAAAGTTCAAATCTCCTCCCACACATATTGTACTAAAAAATTATTGAATAACTCTTTATAAACTCATAATCCTTTTTTTTTAGGAAAAAAAAAACTAAACATTTGTTTAAGTGATAAATGGATGAAATTGAAAATTTAGGATTCAAATGAATAAATCTTAAAAAAGATTAATGTTTTTTTTTCTTTTTTTAACATCTAAAAATTATATTTAATATTAAAAGTTTTCTTAGAACAGAGTAGTGAGCAGAATTGAGGTTTGTTTGTGGTTATTTTCTTTTTTTTTTTCTTTTTTGTCTTGTGTTAACTTAAAATTGTCATTTTATTATGTTTACATTTGCAATATACACAAAAATAAATTGTGTAACCACAAACATTAAAAACAAAATATAATGAATTAAAACAAATAATTAACTTGTGACGTGGTTATTTCAAGAATTTAATTAAAAAATAAATAAAATTTGCAAATTTAATGTTTAACCTCTATACATAGTTTAGTGAATAATTTTTTTATCATAAACTTTAATTTTACCAATTTGAACCCTAAATCTGAGAAAATGTTAAAATAATTATTTTTTAAAAGTTTTGAAGATAGGTAGTTACCATTGGGAAGACGAAATTATTTTTTCAAATTGTTGACAACTTTTAACATTTTTTTAGTTCAACAATTATAGGACCATAGACTTTTTAGATGGTAATAAAGTTCTAAATCATTGAACTGTATTTGTATTTGGATAACAATGTGAGAATTAATCTGTCATATGTTTGAATCTATATTTCTCTATTGTGATGTACTATTATAAAAAAAATAAAAACTATTTTTATGCCTCGTGTATCTTTTTTAACTAGAATTGGACATACACTAAAAAAAAAGAAGAAGAAGAAGAAAAAGAAAAACTAGACGTGTTCATGTTCCTTGAAAATTTAAAAAGTATAATTGCATGATAATTGTTTCTGCTTTGTTTTAACTTTTATTAGAAGTCTTATATGAAAATTAAAATTTCAAATTAAATATACAAAATTTTTATGTTAGGTTTACTTTTAATAATTATTGTTGGAGGCAAAAATATGACATACCATGTGGCGAGATATGGCTAAGCTACCACCGAGCTCCTAAGCTCACCTATTGCCAAGCTTATAGGTTCACCTATGGCCGAGCTCATAAGTTCACCTATTGCCGAGCTCTAAAGCTCACCTATGACCGAGCACCTTAGCTCACCTATGGCCGAGCTCATAAACTCACCTATAGCCGAGCTCCCAAGCTCACCTATGGCCGAGCTCCCAAGCTCACCTATTGCCGAGCTCCTTAGCTCACCTATGACCGAGCCCATAAGCTCATCTATGGCCGAGCTCTTAAACTCATCTATGACCGAGCTTGAGCTCATCCATAGTCGACCTCAATCATTACTGACCTGTAGCCCGACATCTAACCGCCTTGTCGTAACGGCCATAACAAACATGTCCTTTCACTCCGCCTATAAAAGGATCTTCATTCTTCTTACTCAGGTATGCAATTCTACTCTGAGAATGACCTATTTGAGCTCGCACCTATACTGACTTGAGCGTCAGAGTGTACTTCGTCAGCTTGGCCAATTACCACCTGACCAACCTCGGTAGCTCGGTAGAATTTTGCATCAACAATTATTATGTATTTTATAAGTAAAAGATGATAAAATAATAAATTTATTTATGCGTAGAAAAAACTTGGAAATGAGAGAAAAAAAAACTTAATTTTTTTTATTTTTAAAATTTTTATACAGTTTTGGTAACATTTTTTAAAAAATGAGAAACGAGAAACTGGCACCAAACACAAATTTGTAAATGAGAAACAAGAAATTCAAATGCTATTAAACGAGCCTTAGTATTTTGGTTGGGGTGTTTTTTGGCGACTTGATTCTATACTTTTTGTTTTCAATTCATTTGTTGGCTTCCTTTGGGTGATTTATTGATGGGTTTCCAGCATTATTCGATAAATTCAAAACTTTACCGTTGAACTAAAATTAAAAAATAAAAATAAAAACAACTAAAATGCTTAATCTAAATAACTGCCAATTCGCTGTAAAGAGACTAACGGATTCCTTTTTTTCCCCCAACGCAATAAAGAGTGCAAATCAAGATTGGGATTGGGGCCAATAACTTCCTCATTTAAAGTTGAAATTGCATATTTGAATTTAATTTATACGACAATTAATTATTATTATTTTTTTATAAAAATAAAAATGGAAGAGATGCATTACCTCCATTTTCAGGCTTCTATATTCTTTAGTTTTCCCTCTGCCTTGTCTTTTGCTTTCACTGTTATTCAGAAAAAACGTCGCCATGGAAAAACAAAGCTTCCTTTGCTTARCAGATTCAAGCAGCTCCGACAGTCCTCTTCATTCCTGCACACTTCATACAACTCAATCAGGTCTCTATATCCCTCTCTCATCACTGTTTTTCGAGCGGGCAGGTTAAATTACCATTTTTGTTCGTATAGTTTGTGCTTGATTTCAATTCGATTCCTCTGGGTTAAAATGCTCAATCTAGTCTCTCTAGTTTGGTTAATTCGACTTTTGTATATGACACTTTTTTTCCGATGTGGTAGAGAGACAATGAGTTGACACTCAAAAAATATATGGCAAAAGTAAAGAATTTGAATTGGGTAAAAAAATTAATGGTGGGACAAGTTGAATTTACCAAACAGTATACTGAATGTTTGTGTTCATCATCTCGGCTAAAGAAAGAAGATATGCAACATAAAAAAAGATGGGTTAAAATAGACCCCTATATTTTTAGTASGTGGATTCATTTTGGTTCCTGTAATTTTAAAATATCCATTTTAGTCCATGTACTTTTAATTTTGGTTAATTTTAGTCYATGTACTTCCAAAATGTTTGTTTTGATCCCTGCATTTTTAAAAAGTTACCATTTTAATCGCTTAATTTTATCTTCAATCTCATTTTTCTATCACAACTTCAATAGGATACTACACTCAATATATTTCTTAAAATGTAACCATGACTTATATTAAGAGATTTTTGTTATGCGTAGAATTTTATGTTAAAATTTTGCAAGGACCAAAATGATCACCCTTTTAAAAGTACAAGGACAAAAACGAACATTTAAAAATTACTAAGGACTAAAATGAAGTAAAGTTGAAATACAAGAACCAACAGAAACATTTTAAAAATATAGAGACTAAAATAGACCGAAAATACGGGGACTAAAATAGTTTTTTAACCCGAAAAAAAAATTGTTCACATGTTGTAATGATWGAGACATTTTCAGAGATTTAACCAAAACAAGGGACTAAATTGAAATGTGTAGAATCATGGGGTTCGAATTGAAATCTATCAAACTATAGTACTTGATGGTTGTTTAACCTTACAATATCTTCAGTTGATATAAAAATTAACCAGTTCCAACAGTTTCAGACATGGACAAGAAAATGAAGGCCATAATAACCGCTTTGGAAGAAGATGGGCAATATCAAAACAGAAAACTAGAGATCAAATGTATGCTTGAAGAGTACAATAGATCTTACCAATCCTTGGCTGAAAAATACGACTATTTGAAGTTCATATTTGTTAACATTCTCTTTTCTGGGTCRTCCACGCCTTCAGACGCCGAAATATTCCGATGCAATATCAAATGTCCRGGCCTCAAATCCGTCTCTGTCGATGGCAGCCTCAAATGTAACAATGACATCTTGGACAAAGAGTTCCTGATCAAGCTAAGAGATGAATTGGTTTCAAGTAAGACATGTAATCATAATTCTGATGAAATAGTTGAAGCAAGAGATGACAAAATGTATGGAAGCATCGCGGCTCGTGCTGAGATAGACGATACCGAGTTAAAGATGAACAAGTTTGAACTACAACGGGTTAAAGATGTACATCCATTGGTGGCTATTGCCCAGTGGGAGAGTACATGGAATGAACTAAACTCAAAGGTGACAGTGCTCATGGAGGAAAATCTGCAGCATCAGGAGGAGTTAACCAGGAGAAACAATGAAAAGAGAGAGGCCATTAAAGAGCTTCACCAACAGATAAAATTCCTAAAGAGTGAGAACAGGTCCCTCCAGAGTTCTCTCAGATTCCCCAAAGAAAGGTCAAAGCCATATCGCTCTCCAATATCACGACTKGCAGAAACGATTTCGAACAAGCTTTTGGGGTGGGGTTGTTCTTGATCTGAACTTCAGTTGTTCAACAACAGATTCCTTCCACATTCAATCCAATCATACCCAATAGTCTGTGATCTGTAATTGAAAATGTTATTCAAATAATTGAAGTCAAATGGAGCTGCCCCTTTGCGGATTTCTTTTGAGCATATGTCGTGTTTGTTTAATAAGATCCGAGGGCTCGCGATAGTTCAGATACTTCACCCTTGTGTGCCTTCAAAAAATTGTTTCGTAAAATTAAGCAGCTGACAATTTATAGAGTAGCTATCAGCTGCATATAAGCTTCTAGCAAGATAAATTTTAGATTCAAGCCTATGAAACATGTAAGCTTTGATCTACCAAATCAACCGAGAGAAAAACCAATCTTCTTGTCATTCTTTGGTAAACTTAAGAACATTTTCCCTTCAGAATAATGACATGTACTGTTATCGCTTACTCGAGTATAGCTGGGACTGTTTATATGAAGCATCATTAGCTTCGTCCCGCACCTGACAATCTGATTGAATCAATTCAAAGTACCCAATCAAGTCCTTCAGAAGTGTCACCAATAATCTCCACAAGAACATAATCCGTCCTTGAAATGATGAAATCTTTTTGAATCTCGGACCACAAACTCTCGATGAACGACTTTCGAAATTAACTTAATGACAGTATGACAGTCTCCACAGACCCTAAGGTTTTTAATGATGCTTATGGTTGTTCCAGCTGCAGAGTTCATCACTCCAAAAGCAACAGCGAGTTTCTCACTGTGAACCCTCAAGATTATTTCTTTTTCCTCTTCATCAACATCATGAAGAACTGATGTCATGTTTGGCACATAGCCTATCTTTTGAAGCTCCAAAGTTAGTTTCTCCAAATACTTGTAAATCATCTCATGTTGAGGATGCTCTTTATCTCCAACCAGAAAAACGTGAACTCTGCCTTTCAGTTCGACCAAACTGAAGCCGGGCGGTTTAACAAGTTGGCGGTTCTTCATTAGAGTTCTCATCCTTTCGACATCTGCCCAACGTCCAGCATCTGCATAAAGGTTTGAAAGTAAAACATAGTACCCACAATTATCCGGATCAAGTTCAAACAATTTTTGAGCGGCAATCTCGCCAAGGTCCACATTCTTGTGGATTCTACAAGCCCCAAGAAGAGAGCCCCATACTACAAAATCAGGCTTCATCCTCATTCCCTTGATTAAATTGTAAGCCTCACTGAGACATCCTGCACGTCCGAAAAGATCAACCATGCAACCATAATGCTCGATGCCGGGCTCGATATCGTATTTATACTTCATGGCATTAAACCAGTGCCAGCCTTCMTCTACCAAACCGGCATGGCTGCACGCAGCAAGAACAGATACAAAAGTGATGTAATTTGGCTCCACTCTGGCCTGAATCATCTTGTAGAAGATGTCAAGAGCTCCTTTGGCGCAGCCGTGCATGCCATAACCAGCAACCATGGCCGTCCACGACTTTACATTCTTCTCCTTCATTCGATCAAATGTTTTCTTTGCCATTTCAACTCTTCCACATTTGCAATACATGTCAATTATAGAGGTACCAACACACACATTTTCCTCCAAATCCATCTTTATAACCTACATGAACCAGCAGATCAAGCATTACTATTGTTCGTACAGAGACCATCACATTTAAAGCAGTGAGTCATGGAAAAAGACAGATGCATTACAGATCGTCATTTCTTTCGCAATAATATTTGGAAGGTTGAACTTCAAAAAATTTCGAATGAAGAATAGCTTAAACTCATATATTGGTCCTCAACTTTTGTGCTAGATTTTAAGTCCTAAACTTCCAAATATTCAGTCTTAATCCCTAACATACCTGAAGTTTTGAATGTTCTATTTCAGCCCCTAAACTTTTCATGAAATACCATTTTCGTTCTTGGTGCTAAACACTTGCCTACTTAAAGATTTACTCATCAGGTAAATGTAGGGGTGCAAGCCAAAAACAAAAGAACCAACTTGGCCGACCAAATCAAATTAGTTGGATGGAAGATAATCACCTGATTATGAATACACTTGCCCGCCCTCAATGCCCCGGCATGAGCAGAAGCCAACAAAACAGCGGATAAGGTCACCGCATTGTAGCGAACGCCATCATGCCTCACCATTCCATGAAAAACCTCCAAAGCCTCCTCAGACAACCCACTTTGAGCATACACTGCAATCATTGAGTTCCAAGAAATTTCATCCTTCTCTTCCATCCCATCAAACACCTTCCTAGAAACCAAAGGCTGCCCGCATTTTGCATATGCATCAATCAACGTGTTGCCAACTCCAACATTCCCATCAAAGCCTTCTTTTATCACAAACCCATGAACGTCTTCAGTGATTCCCTTTTCTGATACTCGAGAACAGGCCGATAAAACCGAAACCATGACGACGGGATCTAGAGGAATCTTATTGCCATCTTCAACCTCTGTTTCCTCCTCCAAAAAATCCTTGAAAAGCAACAACGCATTGTCTGCTTGCTCGTTTTGGACGTACCTGTAAGACAGTATTASAATAAGAGATCCTGTATTGTACCTGACACCACAAGTGAGGAGTAGTGCTTAAAATATGAACAAAAGGTTAAATTTACTCTTAAGTTTTAAAATGGTATCGTAGCGGGATGTCATGTGTTTCAACTCCACAAGTGAGAGTAAAATCCACCMGAATAAAAGATTAAATTTACCTAGTCTGTCAACTTAAACTTTTGAAGTCTCGTTTTTGAACTTCACAAGTGAGTGAGGGACAGCGAGAGTGTTAATACTATAAAGGTTTTAGTAGTTGAATTGTACCCAGTAATCATGGACGTCCAGGAGACCACATTTCGCAGAGGAATTTCGTCGAACAGTTGTCGTGCATCCTTCAGTTGGCCGCATTTCGAGTACATATCAATAAGCGCAGACGAGACAAAAAGATCAGTGTCGAAGCCGAAGACGAAGGCTTGCTGGTGGGTCTGCTTGCCGGCGACGAGATCGCACAAAGCCGAACAGGATTTGATGGCGCAGGGGAAACTTGACCGGCTGGGGCTTAGGGCCAGCTTTCGCATGGAGGAGAAGGCGCGAAGAGCTTCAACCGAATCGCCGCCGCGGGCCAAATCGGCAATTACCGAGTTCCACGAATGGACGTTGGATTTATCAACGTATTTGTTGAACCATGTCGCGAGGTTGGGATTGCTTGAGTATCGGCGCCAACAGAGTTTCAAAGGAAACAACAATTCAATTGAAGAATGATTTGAAATTCCCATTCGAAATCTGTTTCTGCTTAGTGGTTAGTTTTCTTATTCATTGATTATGTGCATACTGCATACGGTCTGTTGAGGAAGCTGATTCCGGTTCCTGTCCCATCTGAAACGGCAAAATTTTCAAGGAATTTAGGGAGGGAGAAGCTCATCATTTTTTAAAATATGTTCAATTACAAATTTGGTTGGGATGATTTTGGGTATATTGCAATTTATTATTATTATTATTATTATTATTATTATTATTCTATATGATTTAGGTTTATTATTATTCTATATTATTATTTTGATTGAAAGTTTCAATTTGATTATATCTCCCCTTTCAAAAAATAATAAAAAATAAAAGATTATATCTCATAGGTTGTACTTAAATGATGATTCTCTCACTTAAAAAATCTACAATTTYTTACGCGCAAATAAGTTTTAAAAAAATGTTTGAAAATTTTCGCTAAATGACAAAGAATTAATATGTATTTTTAAAAATGTCCCAATTTTTCACTTTTTTTTAATATAGCATAATTTTTACTTTATTTTAGTATACAATACCTCATATTTAAGTTAGGCTTTGATTCAATTATGATATTTTTGTTAAAATTTTAAACTTCATGTTCTATTTAAAAATAAATATTTATTTTATATTATTTAATTTTGTGAGTTTTAATTCATAACAGAGGTGGAGTGGGTTTTTTTTTTCCTTTAGTACAAGTGGCAACAATCAGAACCACATTTCAAAAAAAAAAAATTCAAATCTCATTTTGTGTGTGGAAAGTTTGWCGTGTTAGAATGTTTGGTGAGCCCCTAAATTTCAGGGGAAAAACCAGATCCAACTTTCACAAYATTTATTTTAGTTCATATACGATCTATTTTATTTAAAATTTCAGCGTTGTGACACAAACAGACATCAAATCAAATGGAAGAATAATTTTAAGATCTAAAACACATTTCAATTCCAATGGAAATTKCCATTAATGTCAACACATGAAATCTTCAATTCAAGGAACAAGAAAAAGCATCACACTCGAACATTAACAAACAGTCTTRAACTAAAGAAAACACAAAGGCTCAGACCGAATACAGAGAGGTCAAGATTCAGCTCAACAGAACCGGACCCACTTTTCCCCATGAACTCGCCGGAGTCCGGCGCCGGCGCCGGCGCCTCCGAGTTCGAAGGAGCTGCAGACATCGGAGAAGAACGCTCATCACTCGGAGAAGGAAAAAACGAAGACATATTTTGAGAAGTTGTATGAGGTGAAACAGCCGGAGATGCCGAGATTGAAGAGGGCTGAATTCCGGCTGCAATGGCGACGAAGACAGCCAGAGACAAGGCAACACAGAAGCCGGCGGTGGCAGCCATTGATGTCAGAAAAAAGCTCTTCAAGGAATTATAGCAACCAACGAAGAAGAAACAGCTCACATAAATATGGCAAAAAGGAGAGGATAAAGCAGTAAAAAGGCAGAGTTTGAGAAGTGGGTAACTGTTGGAATGGTGATTGAACAATGAACATCACGAGAAGGGCAGCGTCCACATTAAATACGGTGTCGTTTGTATGTTTGCTGATCCAAAAGCTCTTGTTTCTCCTTGATCTGTCTGTTTTTTGTCTGGTTTCGTTCCTCAAAGTACAGAAAGATTCCTCCATTTCGAGGTGGAGTGGCCATTTCAATGGCGTAAAACAAGTTTCAGTCTCAATSGGGTCTTTTCTCTCAGACCCACAGCCCATGTGACGACGCCGTTTTGGGACAACAAGAAAAAGCTTACTTTCTAGCAGCAATTTTGGTTGTTCTTCCCCTCCAATTACTCAGGACAGCCACCAACAACAGAAAAGTACTTTTATGCCAACAGGAGTTTCTGCTTCCACTCAACAATGTCTGCAAATGGTAATAAAAAAGAACAGCATTTTGTGATCAAAACAACCAAGCAAACTTCCCATCCATCACTTGACTGATCTCRAGCTGCAATACCGACCTGCATTCGTGAAAAGATCGTACGTGTGTATAAAGTTTAATCAATCATATGAGATCAATGATAAATGGTACAGATCAAAAGAATCACTTGATACAGCAACTTTCCTTTTGCCATAATTCTGTGTGAGGTTGGGTGGGGGTTGAATCTATCATGAATAATAATAATAATAATAATAATACAGGAATATTGCCTGCTAGTGCAAAAAACATGAGGAAAGGAAGAAAAAGTGAAGTTCATTCCAAAAATTATATAAATGGCAGATTTGGCCATTATGTAACAGATCGTCTCGTCTCGTGGTGTTGGAATCGGTACGGAAGTGGAATTTCTTTCATTAGAGAAGCCTTAGGTGTGCGGTGTCGTTCAACGATTTTATCTGCCAGCCTGATTTTAGTGAATGCTGTAAAACAGTCACAGATGAATCTGCAATGCAAAACTTGTGCAGCATTACCAAGCTGCATTCTAGGAGGCCTGTGAGGAGACACTTAATTGGAATTGAATGTGTGAAGATGCCGATACAAGTCGTACATGAGGAAGAGCTTCTCATACTTAGATTATTTAGTGCACTTTGGTGACTATCTCGAGGGGATACCTCGTCTTCAGCTTCATGCTCTCCGGTCGTAGTCACAGTTTGTAGCCTGCTTTTGCCAGACTTTTTCCTTGTGAACCCGTGTCGCTGCCTATGAGGAAAATCCCAATGTGGTGATGGGAGAGAATTCCCATCTCGATCGTGAATTGAGTTGGTTAGTTCGTGTGACATTTGAAGTGATAACCCTTGATTCTCATTGGGATGATATGATAAAACATCTGACCTCAGCTTTTCGGGGAGTTCCAAGATGGTTCTATTCAGAAAATGAACCATACGGAATTCCACCTGCCTTAGCGATTCTCCAGCCGGTGCGGAGAAGTCAGGTTGGATTCGATCAATGAAGCTCAATGTTTCAGGTGTATATATCTCAGATCGGAGGCAACGCTCCCAGTGTCCCTGGCTCATCTCCATAAGTGCATCTGAATTTTGTATTTGTTCTTCCAAAAAATTCATTTCCTGCAGGTTCGTCGCATAAACAATTTACACAATTCAAGAAATAATGCAGAGAAAAAGGATCAAACATCAGACACAGGTGACGACCACTTGACTAGTAGTAGCTAACGACCGTTTTCGATCAAATTCCTGGCTTTTATAAGAGTGAAAGGAGACAGTTTCAAACATATAGCCGAAATTGTCAACCATTTTAATCCAACCTCAACAGAACATTGATGCSTAACTCCCCAGAATTCAACGAAAAACATGAACATAATCATTCGGCTGTAAAGAATTCAATATGAAATAATAGTTGGCTGAAGGACAGTAGAACTCATTGCTGCTTGTGCTTGGTTGCCTAAACTACGCTATTAATGCTTTAAAGAAATTGCGATTGCCCATTTCATATTTAGCTGGTTTATTCTTAAAACTTAAAACCTCATAGATTCTGAATTGGCTTCATTGGCCATTTGAAACAAAGCTTTCCCTCAAATTCAGACAGACRATAAACAAGAGATTAACAGACGAAGTTATCTTGGTTCAATAACAATCCGTATTAAAACAATAACAAGCTTTAAAACGAGTAAGAGAATTGAATTCCTAAGAGCACAATAAACAAACAGTTGGTGAGCATAATCCGAGGATATTACCTGGCAAACTGAAACGGCCATCGATCGGGCCCGATCCAACGGCGACGAATACACGGCATTGAAACGAACCCCCTGAGATTTCAAGAACACCGCCAATGCTCTCGCCTGACGCTTACCTTTCGGCGTCAAA